AATAAATTTAATTAATTTAATTTTAAATTTTAATAATATTAGATTAACTTACATTTAATATTATAATATTAAATTAAATTACAATAGATCTAGTTTAAGTTGACAAATGATTGGTAATTAAAGAAATATGCCTTATTAAATTAACATAACAACTTTTATCATATTCTTTATAATGCTATTTTGAATGTAATTCCATAATATTTTATGCTATAATGGTATCAGTTTCATCAATATTCTTTTTTTTAGGGATTTGATTGTAGGAACTTGAAATAGATAATTGTTTGTTTTTCTTATTTGTCTTTTCTAACCCTTTCTAATCATTAAAATCTCTAATAAAAATAATGATTAATAAATATATTATAATTTAATATTAATTACTATAATTAATTATTATCTTAATTTAGATTTTTTTGGATTTTTCTTCATTTTTATCAAAATTAATAAAACTTTCTTATTGGAAATAATTCGCTCATTTTCTCTTAAAAATTTTGTCTAATCCTTTTTGTTTGTTAATTGAGTTCCTGATTTTATTTTATTACTTTTTCCTGTTTATATGTGATACTATAATTTTCTCTAAATATTACCTGATCTTCAAATTGCTCTTGAATTAACATATTCAATCTACTTTTAAATCTTTGAAAATCATTCACTATAATTGTTTCTTATTTAGCTGCATTACATTTTCCATCTGCTGCTTTAATGATCAATTTAAAATTTATTTCAATTTCTTCAATTTCTTTAACTTCATTTGTTGATAATTCTGGACTTATATCGTCATTATTTTCAAAAAAGAATTTAGTGAAGTTAAACTAATTTCTTGTGTCAAATTATTTGTAAATTCTAACATATTATCTGGTAAAATAGTAGAAGTATTCTGATCTGCAGACTTTAATACAGTTACTGGTAAATTATCATATGTAATCTTCAATAAAGGAAATTGATTTGCATTTACCTCTTAGGTCTTTTCATCTTGTTTATCTAACTAATAAAATTTACCATTACATCTAGTATATAAAAAAAAATTAAACTTTTTAGAAAAATTACTATTATAGTCATAATAATTGCTCACAAGTTTTAACTTATTTATTTGCTAAGAATTAAAAAGTTTTTCACCATTAGTGTGATATACTCTTGAATAACATTTTCTTTTTTTCTTTTTTTACATAATGGAGTTCGTTGCCTTTTTTCTTTCTTATATTTACAAGATGTATAACTACAGTTTTTATTGCAATGTAGACAAGTCTGACAAATATAACATAGGCTTATACTGTATATTCTTTTATTTAGACTTTCACTTGACATTACTTTGTATATAGTAAAATAAAATTTGTTACGCATTTTCATGTAAAGTGATATGATTATTAATTCAGCACTATTATATAAAATATTTGTATAACTATCTTTAATCATTATTACACAATTATTTAAAGAATTTTACAGTGTTTTAAGGAGTTTTCAAATAATTTTTATATACAAAAATCTAAAAATATAAAGTGAATACAGTAAAAAATCCAACTTTTTTATATAAAATACTTACTAACATTTTTGATAAAATTCTTCTTAAATATTGAATTTATTGTTTAAATAAAAAATCTAATAAAGAAATAACAAAAATTCATATAAATATTATATTCAAATTTTTGACATGAAAATTACACTATCACTGTGTAAAAATCAGGAATTATCAGTAATATTGAAAATGGAAATAATTAACACAGATCTGATTAAAGTTCTAGCTTGTAGTTATACCTATCATAAATTTTAATATATCAATAATTGGTTCAAATATTTATATTGCCTTCCATTCTTACAAAATGTGATTAATGAATATGTTAAATTCTTATTAAAATGTTTACAATACTTTAAATAAGAACTGCAGGTAGAAGTTAAAAATTTAGAAAATAATATTTCATGTGATAATAATGATAAAAGTAAATCTGTAGAATATATAATATTTGTATTAAAAGAAGTATTGCAGAAATTTCAACAACAATAAAAATAAAAAATTTTTTTACAATTTTTTTTTTTTTTTTTTTTTTTTACAAAAACTAAAACTATTATATAAAATTAATAAATTAAACTAATTTTTGAAATTTAGGTTTTATTCTTAATACTTTAATTTATTATAAATTTAAATACTAAATAGTTTAAATGCAATAGTTAAATTTATTATCGTATAGTATATTGTGTGATATGTATAAATATTTATAATATCAATTACAAAATTCATGTAACTTTATCAGCCAATCATATGAAAACTTCCTATAATACCAAAGCTTATAAATGTAAAGATCTAGTAAAACTTAATTTTCTTAAAGATGAAATCAAACGCATAGAAGAAAATAGAATTATTAGAAAATTACTAAACTCTTAAACTTTTCATATAGTCATAGTAGCAAAGAAAACTAGAGATAAACGAATCTGTATTGATTACAGAAAATTAAATTCTATCTCTAAAAGTGATGCATATCCTCTACTAAGAATTGATGATTTATTAGAGAAATTCAGAGAAGCAAATTGATTCTCTACTCTTGATCTTGCTAGTGGCTATTGGCAAGTAGAAATGAGTGAAAAAGATAAGAAAAAAACTGCTTTTATTTTCCAGTTTGGTTTTTATGAATTCAATGTCATGCCTTTTGGTCTAAAGAATATATCAGCAATCTTTCAAAGTCTAATAAATCATATCTTTAAGAATTCTTGTATGAATTCATCGCTGTCTATTTAGATGACATTATTATTTACTAAATAACTTATAAGAATCATATCTAACATTTGAGAAAAGTATGTCAAGTAATCAAACAAGCAAATTTAATGATCAAGCTTAAAAAGTGTCACTTTTATTTACCTAATATTACGTACTTAGGATAAGTAGTTGGAAAAAATGGATTATAATCTGATCCTATAAAATTGATAAAGTTAAAAACTTTTCAACTCCAGTTAACTTAACAAGTTTGAGGTCTGCATTAGAATTATTCTCATACTATCAACGATTTGTTTCAGGATTCTCAAAAATTGCACAAATTTTTAACCCAATTGTTGAAAAAGGAAAAATCATTCTCTTGGACAAATGCTTAACAAAAGGTTTTTGATATCTTAAAGGATAAATTAATTACTGCGCTAATTTTGCAGTATTTAAATTTTAATAAACCATTTATCCTATACACTGACACTTCTGAAAATAGCTTAGAAGCTGTCTTCTCTCAAAAATTAGAAAATGAATTTGACTATGTGGTAGCATATATCAGCAGAAGTATGAATAAAACTGAGCAAAATTATGAAATAACTGATCAGGAATGTCTTGCAGTTATATGGATTATGAGATACTTTCATCATTATCTAAACTCACAACTTTTTATCATTATTACTGATCATTCAGCCTTTAAATAGCTACAAACATCAAAAATTTCTAAAGGAAGAAGAGTATGATAGATCATAAAACTCTAACAATATGATTTTAAAATTAAGCATAGGATTGGAAAACTAAATGCTAATGCAGATGCTCTTTCTCAAATCAATTCTGATCAAAAAGATGAAGATAATACATATGAAGTTTTTATGATAATTACCATTGAAACTGAAGAAACAGAGGATGAATGGCATATTTCTTCTGAGCATAACTCTGCTAAAAATAATGAAGAAATATGATTTGAGGATTAATTATTTTAACAATTTTTCTATGTATCTTTGATTACCGTTAAAACCAGCAAAAACTAACAGACCTATCGAATATGACATACACTACCCTATCAAAAGTATCTGGTCAAGCTCTTTTTGATTATTTTGAGATCGGATATATTAATTAATATAAAATTTTTTTAAATAAATGCTCCGGTTCTGACAAATAAAATTTATGTATTTGTTTTTTGTTATGATGTATACATCAAATTTGGCAATAAAAATAAAAACA